CAAGCGCTTATCACACACACACACAAAAAGAAGGACCGATAAAGAAAGACGTCTTTCACTGAACCCAACCGAGATTCATCGGTGGTACAGACCGCTCATAGAATGCAATTCAAATTTCAAATTATTCAATGAATGGAATTTTCCCCAAAGTGTCGCTCAAAATTCGTTCCGTTTCACTCACCGCCGTTGGATGCACGGAATTTGTAAGGAGGACGATGAAGAAGTTTCTGTCCGGGTCGATCCAGATAGAGGTACCTGTTTAAGAGGGGAGGGGGGGCGGGAGGGAGGAGGGCGGGGGGGAGGGAGACAACTCAAAAAACATAGGATCGAGAAAAGAAAGGAAACCAAATAAGTTGAAATAACTCAGTTTTAAAACTTTTCTGGGCCCTGCTAATGGAAGAGAAGGACGTTTACATGCAATCAGAGTCGCTTCCACTCACGCTTCACATGCATGTAAACAGGTTGCGCAGCAAACTGGCGACAAGCGCCCACTCAAAACTCAGAGATATGGCAAACAAGAATACATTTCAGATACAACTCGCTTCAGATGGCTATGGCGACTCAGCGCCTGTACAAGTCTCTGTTCGTCACTCACTCGTCGCTGCTTATTACACACAGGATCACCCTGGATATCCCACATGCATACACTGCACACTCACACACTCACACACTGCACTCCACCTACAACTATGGTGGCTATGGCCGCTGCTAACCTATCGCTATGACTAAGCTCCTTCTCTCTCGCCCACTTCGACTTTGGGCTCACTGCAGACCACCTCGCACAAGTCGCTGTGGCAGCGCTTCCGCATGGCTCACGCAGGAATGAATGAATGGCTGGGCGCTGCCCTTTCATTTATACTTCTGTAGTTCGTTGGTCTGGCCCTTTTCCCATGCCCGTAGTGCATACAGTCCCATGCGGTACTTGCTTGACTGGACTACGACTGACTGGGACTGGGACTGCTGACTCAGCACGGGTAGACTCCACCACTTGCCCACTTGCCTCAGCCTAAACGTGAGCAACTTCGAAAGGCCACTACTAGAACCTTCTGGAAGTCTGGGTCCTGGCCTTTCGAAGACTGTAGCAGCTACGACCTTGACCCTTCAGGACTGTAGCAGCCTACGACCTTGACCCTTCAAGACTGTAGCAGCTACGACCTTGACCCTTCAGGACTGTAGCAGCTACGACCTTGACCCTTCGGGACTGTAGCAGCTACGACCTTGACCCTTCAGGACTGTAGCAGCTACGACCTTGACCCTTCAGGACTGTAGCAGCTACGACCTTGACCCTTCAGGACTGTAGCAGCTACGACCTTGACCCTTCGGAAGTTCTACAGCTACGACTTCTAGAACTCCCTAAGACTTCTACTCGACAGGTCTACAGATCGAACCCCTTCTACCTACGGACCCTACGACAGTCTACCAACTGTTACAAATACACAGATCACGGGTGCAACTCTCGGGGTCGACACAAATACTGTACACAGGTAAGGTGAGAGGACTAGGGATCGAGCCCTGGGATCTGCATCGGCTACTGCGAACAGATGAAATACCGTTCCATACAACTTTACACACACCAGAAAAATTTAAAAAAAAAAAACAAAAAAAAAACTGGGCCCTGCTAATGGAAGACAAGGAGGTTTTTTTTTTTTAACTTTTACATTACTTGAACAATTACTTCGCGCCCCAGACAAAATGAATGGCTGGGCAAAACTTTTAGCCGCAACTTTCAGGTTTACGGGCCACCAAACCAAAATGTCTGACACCGCTATCCGGGAAAAAAAAAAAACACAAAAAAAAAGTCACACAAGCGCCAGTTGTTTTTTTGAACTTTTTTCTTTAGCGCACAGCACGATTCAGATCGGGGAAAATTTTTGTCCCGGCGCTTGTGTGACTTTTTTTTTTCCTGCTACAAGTAAAGTCTCCGACACAGTGGCCTGAGTTTTTTTTTTTTTTTTTTTTTTTGGGCCTGAGTGGTCGTTTAACTTTAACCAAATCCACTTTCTTATTTCTTGAAAATAGTAAAATATCAACAGCTCAGACCAGGTACAATCGCAGAGCATCATTATTATTATTAATTTATTACAGAATCACACACTTGCAATTAGCAGCAACACCAACTCTCTCTATACCAGGACCATTCTCTCTGTAGCCGGACCATTCTCTTTGGACCTGGACCATTCGCTCTGGACCTGGACAATTCTCTTCACAGTCTTCACACCTGCACCATTCTATTTGTACCTGGACCATTCTCTCTTTGAACCTGGACCGCTCTCTTTGTAACTGGACCATTCTTCTGTTTATATACTTGCACAGTTGTCCCCGCAGCTCGAACATTCTCTTTCCAAGGACTAATAACCGGTCTCTTTGTACCCGGATCCTTCTTCGTACCTGGACACATTCTCTTTGCACCTGGACCATTCTCTTTGTAACTGGACCATTCTGTTTATATACATGGGACTTTTCTCATAACATAACAAGTACTAAATAACCGGTCCTCTTTTTACCTGGATCCTTCTTCGTACCTGGACCATTCTCTTCGTACTGGACCATTCTCTCTGTACCTGGACCATTCTGAGGCTTACATCCATCCATCCACATGCCATCATTACCAGGTCTGAGACTCTACCACATGATAATCAGAAATCACACACGGAACACAATAAAGAAGAACGTGACACGAGTTTTAATATCATGGCGAAATCGCCATCCTCCCGGCATCACCTCGACTTCACACCGTCGAGGTTCTCAATCCTTCTACTCATTCGCCACTCAGACTGAGGTAAGTTCGTACTCTACTTCCCCTTGCTTATATAGTACTTTCTATCCCTCTCCCCCAATTGTAAATAAATAATTAAATTTGACAAGAAGAAAAGGACAGAAGGAACTCACGTACGGGGAACGTACGATAGAGCCTTCACCGTGTTTCACTCTAACGAGTCTAACCACGTTTTTCCTCAAGTCACCCTGGGACTACTAACGGTCCTGGGATCGAGGCTGTGACGCGGTCATACTGAGAAACAAAAGAGATAAATATTAAATATTAGTAACCGCCGCCCATTTCCACTTTTTTGATCAGGTACATATGTCCTCAATCTCAGGTTCTGCATGGCTCCATTCAGTGAATCGGATTCCTGTGACTGTGACTCGGCATCCCGTGGACCCAACCCTATTTTTGTTTCCAGCGCTCATCTGGAAAAAACAGTACAGCAGGCGTGTAATGAGTCACAGTGCATCAGGCAGGAAATCCGATCCCTGTCCGTCCTGGCCAAAAGACAGCTGTTGCAGCACCACCCTTGTGGGGAACTCGTCCCACCAGGGAACGAACCTCTTAGCAGACCTCTAGGATGCTTATTTCCATGAAACAACATATCTAAATACCCGTAATAACCGTTCTGAAAAGGGTGTTTTTTTTTTCACAGCGCTGCAGATTTTGTGTCTGTCACCTTGGCACCTTGCCTTTTTTGTGTTTTTAATTTAACTTTTAAATTATCCGAGCGTTTTGTAAATAAGTTATAAAAAAAAAAAAAAAAACTGACGAGGCTGAGGTTACTGTGGAAAGATGTCCATACAGTCCTTTGGGACATCCGTTAAAAGGGGAACGATACAGAGAACGAAGATTAGCATGGATGACGCGCGCACACACACACACACA